TGAAATGTGCCTCCTAACGTGTATGTAATTGCCAGACCAGGTCTTTTAAGTTGTGCCATACGCAGTGGTTATTTCTGTTAGGTGGTTAGAAAATAAGGCCAGAACTGGAAAGGACATGGAAGTGGCTCCAGAGGCAAACTGATGAGCAGAGTGTGAGGATTAGGAAAGAAAGCCTGGAACAGGCAGAAACAAACAGGAATTTTCACAGACCTAAGGCCATTTGTGTTTTGCAGGAATCAGCTTTCTAGTAAAGACTTCATTTCACATAAAAATGTGGGATTTTAGAGATTACTGCATTTTGCCAGTAGGAAGCAAATAAAGCCCCTTCCTTGTGGGAAACTATTCTTATAAACAAATTCTTATGTACGAGCTAGTATTTGGAAAACAAAGAAAAATTTTTATTACTAGTGATTTCTAGTTGCAGTCTACACAGTGCCAATGCAGACTGCAGCCCCACTGAGACACATCTGATTTCTTGCATTCACCAAAATCTTAAAACACTCTTTGTTTCTGAAGGAGAATACGAATTGTTCAAGTGTTCCTTCTCACCTTGAGGATATTACATTACTACCATCCTTGTCATTGTCTTATTTTGCTTCAACAATCCCAGTGATTAAATACACAGAACATACCAGTTGTACCTTCTGGATTTTTTGTCTCCAGTAAATAACAGCATTCGCCAGCTATCACATACTGCCACTTATGTACCCTTTTCTCAGCTGACTGAGATGGTGACTAGAACAGTAAGTAACATTTTGACCTGTAATGTACTGCATTCATATCCATAAAAGAATGTAGTAGGAATTTTGTTTAGCTAAATATGCATTTATGTGCTTTTCTTCTTGCTTGTGCATGCACACAAACACTGGCAGGTGATTTTTAAAATTTTTTAATTTAAAATTTAATTTAATTTTTAAAAATTTTAATTTTTTAAATTAATTTTTAATTTACTGAACTATATACATCAGTGACAGTTATCCAAGTCACATACATCAATCAATCACAATAATTTTTTATTAATATTTGTTTCGGTGGCATTTCAAGTATTTTCTTCTCCCTGAGCAATCTTAGCTTGCATGTCATCTCGTAGTAATTGTGATGAACAGCAGATGGAAAGAGGTAACATAAAAAGAGAAATCCAGTTTTGTACCCCTTCTAGGTAGAAACTGTAAAACCAATGTTATTTTCCTTATGCACTCCCATATTGTCCATGCTGATTTTACAGAACAAATGGTTATAATCCACTTTGTATTATTACAAATGCATGATTTGTAAAGGAGATGAGGGACTTTAAAACATAAACCACACAAGAAGAGAGAAGCAAATACCCCAACGACAAGCAGCAAAATGAAGCTCCCTGGAGGGAGCAATTTTGCACCAAGGTGGAGCTGTACTGAAAATACCAAGAATATTTCAAATGAGTGCTTGCCTAATTGCACTGTTGGTTCCTTATAGCATATTTCACCATATGTGGAGATACATTCAGAGGGAATAAGGTATTTATTGATTTTTGGGTTTAAGTTGACATACAATTTTGAGAGGTTTTTTCTTCTTCTCACAAAAGGCCTCAGCAGTTTTCAGTTGTAGCAGTCCCTTCCAAGACTGTGAGAAATGATGATGTTCCAGTTTTCATATGAGGGGGCCTGGGGTATTGGATGTTTCTGATCAGATACTGGGTTTTCTCCGTCTGTGAGTTTGAGAAATTTTAAATACTGTTTCCATTCTCATACACAATTCTTCAGCAACATCTTATTCCAACTGTAAGATCCAGATCAAATTAATACACAAAGGTTTCTGCAACTCTCTGACTTGTCCTAGCTTCACTCTGTATTTTTATAACTGACTTCAGTATTGGAACATCCAGTTGCTAACTCATGTGAGAGCTACCATTTGTCAGGTATGTTTTATATTTCAAGGCATGGCTGCCTTTTCTTTTGAGCAAAGTTATTTTACTTCTCATTTCAAATTTGCTACATTTGTCCCGTTTGCACTTGTTCTGTGGTCTTCTTTGCCAAAGGAGTGCAGAAGGGAAGGCAAAATGGGAGAAGGGCAGGGTCTCCACATAACAATGGACAGCAGCTAAAACCAAGGGCGAAAGAGCAGATCTGTGCCTGTGAACTCCATCTCCCAACACCCATAAGGAGTTTCAAGGTTTGCAACCATCTTAAAACAGAGATAACATTTTAAAGGAGTACTGGCCATGGCTGTATAATCTTACCTTTGGTTTTGCTTTTAATTCTACATGTTATATATTTTACTGAATTAGCTAAGAAAGCATAAAGAGAAGGATTATTTAATATCAATTTATCACACAATTATATACACAAGCCTACACTTGCATTTCAAAGCATCTTCACTTGTTCTAAAGTCTTTGTTTGACATACACACACGGAAAAAATGTCAGTATGAAAAATGGCAAACTCCTCAAACATCAGCTCTTTGTATTAGTTCCAACACTGATGACAGCAGCTAGTCTTTCTCTCAGTCAGAATCAGTGACCCAGCACCACTACCTAAGTGTGACCTGTACTCCATTGTGTTCCGTGTCCCATGAACAAAAATGTCAGCTCTGCTCTAATTGCAAAAATCTTTATGACTATCGATGTATGAGTATGGGCTCAATGTAAATTTGATAAACAGGCCCTAGGTAGATTTCACACTATGGGACTTCTGACTAATAGTAACATATAATTACAAATTAAACACAGTGGATCTGGAGGTTCATGAGAGAAAGTAGGCATGGATGCCTCATGTAGATGTATTTTTGTCTCTACAGCACTTTTCATATTGTGTCCACTTTCCAACTTGCCAAACAGGTTGCATCAAACCTGGAGATCATGCTGCTGTTCAGCACAATGAGAAGTTACCCCAAAATATTACCATATCACATAGGAACTCTATATAAACACTGTGAAATTAACTTCCCCTGAAGAGTTCACAAATGGAACAAAAGGTTGGAAGAAAAAAGCAGATGCCCAATGAAAACAGTGCAGGTATCAGAGTTATATCAGGCATTTATGCCTGCTTGACTTCTGGACCACTGCTACACCTAAATCATATCCTCCAAACCCAAATGTGAAAAAGCAAACAGGAAAAGTTCCCATCACAATACATGCAGACATACAAGGTCAGTGTTCTATAAATTCTCAGCTTCAGATGCAGAACTGCAGGACCAGCAATTTATAGGCAGCTCCTGCTGATGTTTTTAATTGCTACAGTAGAAATTATGTGCATTCTTCACAGCAGTAGTATGTAAAATCTCTTCTCCTTTTCATCTGCTAAAGCTCAGCTAGCATACCTGTTCATGGGGCTCATTAGGGTGTGCTACAGATGTTGCTAGATAACCTTGAAAAAAACATCAATACGGCTGAGCCCTGGTCTCATTTGTTTTGAATAGTCAGAACTTGTGCATTTCCTTCAAGCTGTACCTCTCAGTGGGGTGTTCAGTACATCATCTTCCTGGAGTTTGGGGGTAGCTTGTTTCCTTAAGCATCTCCTCCGCAATTATTTGGCTTACAGGCACAGAAAAGAATAAGCTTTTTTCCTGCCATTCGCCTACTTGTATCTTTGGTAGAGATAGACATGATCAGTAACATGTCTTCATGTCCAAGAAAGGGGAACATGACCAATAGATGCTTCTTTACCATTTTTAAATAAGTTGCATGGTATTTGAACAGTAAGTGAGCATACCGCAAACATTTATCAGCTAACACTGTCACTTCCCACAGTCCTCTGGCTCCCTAAAGCCATTAACTCGTCAAATATCCCAAGTCACCTTAGAGTGAGAAACTAATAAACCTCATAGGAAGACAATTTCCTTTTCCAGAGCATTATGAATTCTTGATCTTTCTTTTAAAGTGAGGGTCAGGACTGAGGAAACTGTTGGAGATGAAAGAGCATTACAGGTGTCTGTCTTCTGTGCATCTATGATACACAAAACTTCATGCTTAACAAATTTTCTCACTTCACGGGAATAGAGAATGGGCTTCCAGCAGTCAGTTTCAAATCATGGCATGTTTTTGCACTAAAAAATCAAGCTATACTTTCCTTCCTGTTACTTGGATTGCTATCAGACAAAGCTCCCGCATAATAAATGCAATGTGCCTCTTCCTCCTAATTCACACTGGACCCTCAAATGGAGTGAAGTATCCTGATTCCTTTGTGGACATGTGCTACAGATGTCACTTAGGGCACATGCTGAGAATTAACACCATTTAACAGTCCTTTGAACTGGAATTGCATTACCATCATATTAATTCTCATCAGAGTTAAAGGGTTTACGTGGCATTCATAAGCCACTAGTTCTGTTTCTCTGATTGCACATTCTGAATATGTGGACTAGTGCTGTCAATGCTTACAGAAGAGAGCCCAAAAAGCTAGTCTTACAGAAGTGTGAAGTCATACACAGCTGCATGAGCAGGACTAGGTTTTCCTTGGCCCAGAAATTCTCATTAACTTTGTAAAACTGCATAAATAGTGGAATATGAATTGGACCTAAATCCTAGAAACCACATAGGTTTGTTATTATGGTCAGAGCAACTTTAATTATAAGACTAAAGGTCCAAAATTATAAAGGAATACATAAAAGTATACTTCCCTTCCAGTCAGTTTTATAGATAACAGACCATGTTGAGACTGGTGATAAAAGAAATTCTTCCTTTGTGGGACTGAATAAATGCCAGCATCACCACTGCATTTCAAATGATATTAAGATCAAGGTAATCCAGATATTTTTGATTAAGCCAAACCATTAGCAGTACTTCTCCTAACCAGTTTTTCACAAAAGGAAATTCTCCAGAAACGCTTTGAAATCAGACATCAAAGTCAGGGGGTAAAAATAAGACATTTTAGAGCGATAATAGGAAACACACAGAAAAACCTACAAAAACATGTAATTCTATCTGTTGCTGCCATGTGTTTTGCAGCACTGCAGGTCAGCCAGCACAGCACATCGCGTCCTGTCCAGGCTTCAGGGAGTGGGGAATACCTGGAGGGTTTTACCTGTCAAAAGAAGGCTTCTCTCCACAGTCAAACGCATCCTGTAGCTCCTTGACAAGATTAGCCTGCCCAGGCAGTCGGAAAAGGCCCTCTTCCCTCAGCCCCCACTGTCGGATAAAGTCCACACACTGTTCCACCAGCATAGGAGCCAGACGGTTCCCATAGCGCTTTTCGTACCGGACAGTATCTTCCAGCTTCTGGCCAAAAATACCTGCACCAAAAAGAAAGATGTGACTTGGCTGAGAATCATAAAAACATTTGAGGGGCCTGTGCCTTCTATTCCAACTCACACAACTTACATGTCATTTAAATGCATGGACAATTAACGTCCCGCTTTCTTAAGAATAAAATCCTCCATTTCACCTTTGATACTTTTACAGAAATACAGTGATGACATATTTTATAACAACACCCCAAACCATTATTTAAAATAAAACACCATAAATTATTTGCAAGACCATAAGCCCAGAAAACATAGAAAGAACACAAATAGGATTTTCCATCACAAAACTTCTGATTCAAAATAGATTGATAGATGTAGATGTGTATCTCCATCTTCTTTGGTTAATGTCTATTTATCTATTAAAAAATTAAGTACTTTCTGTGTGAGTTTCAACAGGGTATAAACATTATCTTTACACATCGGGAGGCAAAAGATTTATAAAGATAACTCTGGATTTTGATCCTACTAAACCTAATTATTAATTTTTTTATATAAACAAAGATCATTCCTATAACGTCTTACCAATTTCATTATTATTGTCTGCTTTATAGCAACAATAAATTTTGTGTAAGAAAAAAGTTCCTGACATGAAAGGTGAAATATGTCAGACGAACTGCAGGAAACCTGCATTCACCCTTAATCTCAGGAAGAGCATTGGGGGTTTTGACAGAATTAACTTCAACCCTGATTTGAGGGTATCATTGCTACCACTGGAATGACAGGCACTCATCATAGTTTATTTTGCCTCTCCCTTTCAAAGTGCAGAGCAGGCCATGAAAGCATCACAATAATGTTCAGGCATGTCATCTGTGATGCAAGGTCTCTCTTGAGACCCCCATTTGCTGAAGAGTACTAGGGCTGAAGCAAGTCAACTCAACTTCTATATATAGGAAGACAATGAAGAGTTCTAAGGCAGTCATGATCAGAAACTAAAGAGCAAATAACTACCTCAATTTTCCAATGACAAACACCATAAAGTTAAAGGGAAAAAAAAAAGGCAGTAAGTCAAATTGTGCCCTTTACTGAGCACACAGTTCCTGCTGGTTTAAAATTTTTTAACAAGAACCAAGTTGTGGTTTTTTTTGCTTTTTCTGAGGAACGCGCAAAGTTGAGTTAGTCAGCTTTTGATTTTGACCTAAAAAATTCATTCTCCCATAAATTACAATTGCATGGCTAACTGTCCACAAGCTAAGATAGCACCCCTCCGGGTAACCTTCAATGCATACATTTTTCCACCAACATAAGGGTAACTAACACCTCAGTTGTAGGGGGGACAGCTGCCTTGCATATGCTCCAGGATGTTACGGCAAGTGTCAAGGTGCCCATACTGAAGGTCTGAGATTTGTATTTAAAAGAAATTACTTTCACTGTAGCACAGGAAATAACTGCAGAGAGTAACTGATGTCCTGCTAAGACATCCAGAAAGTCTCTTGAGATGCTGAGCAGCATATTTGTGATTTCTATGGTACCCACGCTTGTGGATGCCAAAACCAGCAGTAGGTAAGGGGAATGAACATTACACAGTCATTCTTTGTTAGTTGATTTTTTTTCATGTTGTACAAAGTCCAACAAGTAGCAATTACAGAAGGAATTTTTAACGTTTCAGAGTGAGTCAAGCTTAGAAGAATACTGACTGATGTGGTGTCCACAAAGTTCGGGCTCTTCAGGCTGACAGAGGAGTTAAAGCATGTTGTCTCAATTCTTACATACCTTCCCAGCCTCCTACAAACTGCCTAGGGGGATGGGAAGAGTATTAATTGAATTTGGGTTTCTGAGTTAAGGGTTGCAGCTGGTCAACACAGACAACCTCCAGTCCTTCCAGCTGCTAGACTCTCCTGAAAGCAGGAGAATTAACGAGGAAAGTCCACTGAAAGTCAGCTAAGGAATCTGTGTGATTATAGGAGCCTGGGGATTTCAAAGTCCTTCTTAATGTATGAGAAGGCTGCTGTTCAGTGCCCCTCAATTTGTACCTTCTCCTGGCTGAGCAAGCCCAACTTGCTCTGCCTTTCCTCAAAGGGCATGTGTTCTAGCTCCCAAGCACCTTAGTGATCCTTTGCTCAGCTCTCTCCAGTGTTATTTCCACCTCTTGGTTTTGGTGGGGTTTTTTTGGTTTTGTTTTGGTTCTTTAAGGACCCAATATTTGGAATATGGTCTAAAAAATGCTAAGCAGAGGAGGTTAATCACTTCCCTCCTTCTGCTAGCTGATACTGCCCAGACTGCTGTCAAATCCTCCTTGCTGCCAGGTCCACTGCTGGCTTATGTCCAGCTTACTATCCACCAGAGCATCCAGGTTCCTTCTTCAGAGCTGCTTTCCTGGGGTTATTCCTTCTGAGGTGTAGGACTTGGCCAACCTACTCCATCTTATCCTGTCAACATACAGACTGAGCTTCTTTTCAAGGGCCCATGATATCTCTTGGTTTTAAACACAAGGGGGTTTGCCTCCTTTCAAACAATATACAGTAGGATATTCCAATTATACAATTACAGTGTATGCACAGTTACAACTCCTGCTCATTGACAGTACAATTAGTATGCATAAGCCTGGCTATACTTCCTTCTTACTATGCTTTCTTTAATCAGTAATGTGCATATTGCTGCTTAAATTTGCAAACTGCTTTGGAACTCATACTAGTCATGACAGTGCAGTCAAAACATATCACTTTCTATGAATACATTTTTGGATGCGGCCATTTTTTTTTTAGTTTGTTTTAAAACTGGGTTTCAAACCATATCTAATAGATACTTAATAAAATCAGAATAAGGCTGTTTTGAGCCGTGGGAGCAAAAAACTCTCATATATTGTTAAAAATTGCTGATGTACCACAACACAAAATGCACTGAAAGCAGGCTGCAACCATAAAGTATTAAGATGTTCTGTAACTAGAAATAAACACTATTTTTTAGGACAAATATAAAGTAACAAGTGATTCATATACAGAAGATGACAAAGATTAAATACACAGGTATGACAAGCTTGCTTCTGCCTTGTAGCAGAAAATTACAGGTATTGTAGAAAGAAAACCTTAATAAAACCTACATCTGAGGGAAAATTAAACCTGATGTGATAGAGAAAAAAAGTAAGTCCAAATCAGAGTCTAAAATTTCCTAGTTCTGGTCCCTTAAGTGTAGACACTAGTTTATTTCTATTATTGTCTACAATAAGGGAAGTTGTAAATGAAGCAACTTTCCCTGAGACACTTAAAATACTCACAGCTAGGAATGCCTGAAGAAGAGACATAATAACTACGGCAGTTGTCTCAGATTTAACAGATTTTTTTTCAGATCCTGCACAATCCTCTGAACAGTTACATCAAGTCTGGCCACAGATATACTTTACTAGCTGGAGGGGTACATGTATGCCCCATATCTTCACATGGCAGAGAAATCCTTAGAGACTTGGCTCCCCATCTATACGAATGGTGATAATACCATATTTACCTCACAGGCACGAAGATCTCCACACTCAGCTTTGGGAAGCTCGTAGCTAACATGGTAACTCTGACAACCATGCAATAACATAAAGCTAAGACCTTAGTCTTGTGTCACCACATCACACCTTGAAGTCACCATTTAATACTCTCCTCATTCTCCAAACTGTTTGGCACTGGACTTCATCTCAGGAAGGCTTGAGTTTGTGCCAAAGTATAGGCTGAGCTCCTCCAAAGGAAGCATTTCCTCCACCTAACAAATGCAGAACACTGCACCAGGCAGCACTTGGTCATGAAAGAAATCAGTCATGATAAGCCTGCACAAATATTGACTTGAAGTTACAGACTGGCTGATGCCTTATGGCAAAGGTACGCTGTTGCCAGGTGCAGAAGTGGCAGGAACACAAGAACTCTGCTTCCACATCATGTTGTCACATAGCTTTCACCTTGCTCATCATCTTTTTGGCACCTGTTGGATTTTGCTTTGGAATAAAAGCCACAATCATTGTCCTGTAAAATGCACCTTGTTCCACCGTCCCTTTCTAATGCTTTTATCCCCTCTTATGTCCTAACTAACTACTATAGTGACATTGCAGTGAACACTTGATGAAATTCAGATGTTGACCATTAGGAAGCAAAGGTAATGCTGTCAAGAACTGTGGCTGCAAATGTTCAGTTACCTTAGAGGTTGGCAGAGACAATGACGAACATTATCAGCTATAACTGGTAACTACTAGCACCTCACTTAGGAAAAGATAGTCCAAGTTATGCAGACTACAACATAACCAAAATCACAGAGATAATTTCTGTTTTTTAAAAATGAATCATGATAATGCTAGTTTTTTAAAAGTAAATTTCCACTACAGCAACTAAACAAGAACAGCTCTGTGGAGAAGGAAATAAAAGAGAGCCCTCATAACGCATATTGTAATCCAAACCCAAGTTCTCCTCCTAACTCTCAATGTCTCCAAAATTCAGAATGCATAGATGCACAAGAGCTGACCTGTCATTCGGTTTATCCTTGACACAGGGTGTCAGAGGGGAAACCAGTAAATTAACAAGAAACCATGAGATTCAGCATAGCAGCAGCTTTGCTCTCCCACAGCTGGTAGAAGGCAGGAAAATGTATAGGATTCCAGTTCTGACCAGTCATTAGATTTAATCGGCAGAACTGCTTTCTCAGAGAGCACTTGCAGGTCTTTAAAGCTATATCCAATTAAGCGAAGATCACGCATAACATCAAAGAGGAAAATCACATGCTAGCAAAGGGCATGCTGAGCAGTTATTCATTAGCTAGAACATTCCCGTGGCAGAAGTTTTGTAAACATTATGAGCAACTGGATTTCCATGCTTAACAGATACCCAGGAACACTATGAAAAACTATTTCGAATGCTATATGCAAATTCTGCACATGTCTACTCAGGAGTTGTGAAAGCACTGTGGTATTTTTTATGGTACATATTCACAGTTAGAGTACAGTTTTAAAACTTAAGAATGCTACTAGTCAATGATTTCCTTAGCTAACTGAACACAGGCAGGGTTCACATCTCAAGTCTCTAGATTTCTGATTCAGGAAGAAAACAGGAGAAGATCAAGGTGGCTGTTCTGCCACCTCACTCCCTAAAGAACAGCTTGAAATAAAGAATACCTCAAAAAGGCCCACCTGCTGCTCTAGCTCTACCACAGCACAGGCAAATGGTGAGCCAGAAGGTGTCAGGGAGCAAAAAGCACTGAGGGCTGATGCTTTCACAGAAGGCCCATGCCTGTATGTGTGTTCTCACAATGTGCAGCAAAGGATCCCAAACCTTCCAAAACAAGTTCTGATTTTATGGGCTATACTGATCAGAAAGGGTCAGTTAAAGTCAAAGGAACTCATCTCAGCTTAGGATCTGGATGAGAATTTTAAGCAGCTCTCAGTCTACATCAGTAATTCACTGACAGTGAAAATAACACATCAGATGAATGGCTTTCAAAGCAGGGCTGCGAACAAAGGTCGTGGAGTAACACAAAGAAGGGGCTGTCATGGCCACAAAACACCTAATATGGAGTTTTAAATAATTATTTTCTATCAGCTTTCTGCTCAGATGTTCCCCAGCAGTAAGTACTGTTTTGAGTGGATCAAAGGCAGGGAATAGTTTCTTCTCTACAGAATTTTGGAATGTAGAGGGGAGGAAAAAAATCCCACCAAAAATAGTGGCAGCAGAATTTTGTTCCTGCCTGAATAATTTTCTTTCCTTCAAGTCTTCCCATACCCCACAGTCAGTGTGATGCCAGCAGTAGAGAAGGCAAGACAAACTCCCGCCCAGGAGTTTAAAATATTTGCACACTCAAATAACCTGCTTAGGAAAAACAACACTGAAATAAAAGTAGAACTAGATGCAGTAAACGAAAGGAGGCAATTTTAAAAACATCGCTGGGAACTTATTACAGTTGATCACATCAGGCACTATTCTCCAGCCACAGCCAATGCCACCTCCTCCTCCAAAACTCTGCCCATCCAAATTCACCATCTATTCAATGTTCTCACTATTGCATGCCACCCTCAGATACTGCTTTCTCCATTTACCCTGCATGTTCTCTCTGGAGGTTCCTGTGGTGGAACTTAACCAGAGAGCATCTTCTCTACTTGGAAGTTTAAAGATGCTTGGCTCTGTCTCTGTTCAGATGCTGCCCTCTGAGCAACTGACTTCTCCTACGACGTGACCTCCAAACAAATCTGACATTTAATTTTCTGGTGCCAATCACAAAGGAAATTTGATCTGAATTTCCAGGAAGGGTTCTATACCTGGTCTCCTTGGTGAAGATCATGACATATCTATCTCTGCCTGACAAAAAGTCATGATTTCCTTCCCCTTCCAATGCTTAGCCAATGATTTTCCCTGTTAATTTTATTTTCTGCATCATGTTGCACAGGTTAGAACTAACTAATCTGCTTTATGAAAGTACAGACTAGGTTTGCAGAAGGCTAGTTTTGCCTTTTATTATACTTAAGTATACAATCTACAAATGAAGTTACAGTTATTCCATATGCCAATTAATAAGACAAGGGTAGTTATCCTAATTTGCCTGTGCAACCATAATGAAATTCCAGTTAATGTGCATCTTTCTGTTGACTTCATCAGGACAAGGGCATAGTGAAACATGCCCCCAGCATTCTGCTGGTCTGACTTAGGGGCCTTGAGACAACACTCTTGACTGAAACAAGATACAGAGAGGAAAGCAAATTAGCAACATCACCTCCATCGTTCTGTCTCTGCCCCCAGTGCTGCACCTTCACTTGAAATTTTAGACATGGACAGTTTCTGTGTCAGAACATATGGAGAAAGAATCAACAGCTGAAGCTCTTCTTGGAGTATCTAAGGCTGTAGCTAGGCACAAAGGCAGCTGTCTGCAAAATTACCAGTTAATCCTTTATTCAACTTCCAAACATTTCTCAAACAGTTAAGCATACAAAATGGGCACAGGTAGCTCTAATTCACACCAATACCTGGAAATGCAATACACATGCACATCCTCCTGGCCAGTCTCCAGCAGGACTGAACTCCGGCAATCAAGGGCCTTGGGGAGGGGGCACAGGAGGCAAACAGCTTTCAGTGCTGTCTCAGCTGCAGGTGATAGCTAATCTCTGCCGTAGTTCTGCAGTGAGCCCCTCACTGGCTGTGATGCCTGGCCACAAGACATCGCCCCTGACTGCCTGCTCACACATCCTCCCAAAGGCAATGATGTCACTACATCACTACTGAGGCTGATGAGCAAAGAGCTGCATGGTCTTGCAAAAGGGCAAGAGGCAGCATGAAGGAACAATGGAAAGAGGAGCAGAAGAGGATGACAGAATATGTGCGAGCCCTGTATCAAACAATTTCTCACACTTCAAAACAACGTGACAGTTTAGCCCTTTCACTGGGATTTCTCAGTCCAGCATAGCTTCTAAGACAACACTAATGTCCCCCTCTTCCCCCACACAAAGTTTTTGTCCTTGTCATAGCGACAGTTTCTGCCCACCCATCCCAAGCGCTGTGGTACCTTACCACCACTTGTCATATCTCTTTCTCAGATGTGTTTCCCTTCCAGTGCTTCCAGCAGACATATTACAGACTCCAGTCTCCTCTTTGCCCTCCTTCCTCGGGTACTGCCATGCTCTGCTTCAACACAATTATGTGCAATGCAGAAGAAAACTGTCTTTAAACATCTCCATGCAGCAGGTGAAAGGCAAATGCAGGCTGCAGGGCAGCATGATCAAGTGGCAATGCATCACTTGCAACAGGACAGTGCATTGTAGAGCTACACTTCAATCCATCAGAAATCTCTGAAACTAAGGACTCTGTCTTCTGCACAAGGAACGTTTTATCATGTTGCTTTGGTCCCTTCTCTTCTCCCCCCCTCCCACCACACAAATAAAATGCAAAGAGAAACTCTTTTTCCCGATGTTCTGCCAAACAAATAGGAAACTCAGAGCATCACAGGTCTGATTCCCCCAGTGCTCTCACTTAATTTTGCTCAGAGGCACTGCAATAATCTTGTCTCAAAACACCTCATTCCAGCATTCATTGGCTATTATGTAGACAAGACAGTATCAGCTGGCCAGCTACAAACAAATGAACAAAGAAGTAAATAAATCATTTGTGGGATGTTGGCATCTGCATTGTTTAATGTCTTTTGTTTCAGCACTCTCATCTGCCCCTGCACACACAGCCCCCTTGACTTGTAAGAAACCACGGTTTCACTAGCAAAGCAGAACACAATGACAGAACAGACCTACCTTTCCGGAAACTAAAACACCGCTTAATTCTCCTGTAAGTAGTTTTAGGAATGAAAGGAGCTGCTGCTAAGGCACCTGGGCTGCGGACTCCAGCATTTTTGTCTTCAGGCATCATACAGGCCGAGCCCCCACGTCCCTCCAAAGCTCTCCTTTACCACCTGCATCCAGACGAAACACCACGACAGCTCATCGTTTACTGACTGCTGAGGAGTTTTTATAATGGTGTATTTTCCTCTGGAGCTAGCAGATTTGCGGTCTTCTAGATCTTGGGTAGGGCTTGAAATGATTTTAATGTTCTCTTCCCTGCTTCAATTTTGCTTTGGGGAACAGTTTCCTTCCATCTATTTCCTTTCGCTTCTTTTATTTCCTGCGGTGAGACAACTGCCTATTATGCAATGTCACAACAAAAGAGTTTCAGCAAAAAGATGTATCTTCCATTCAAACAGAAGTGCCTGCACAGAGGGGGAGAAAAACCTCTCCCTTCCAGCCGAAATAGGGGGCTGAGTGGCAGAGTCTCTAATTCCACAGGATAAGGTCAGCACTCTGCAGTGTTCAAGGGGAAAGAGAAGAACAATATCAAAAACGCCACCGAAGAATCCTCCAGGACATGACACTCATTGCTGGCACTCTCTATTTTTGTAACCAAGAAGCAAAAAATAACAGCCCCTTCGCCCGAGAAGCTCTTTGCCCATAAGAGATTCCTTTTGGGTGTGATGCTCTCGTGGGCTTCTCGCTTGTTTTACTGCTTTTACTGCCTTCGAACTACCAGGAGCTCCCACGGGAGAGGTGCGTCAGATGCGGCAGCAGCGCATCTTTGCCAGCAGGATCCCGGGTAGCCGCTGAGGAATACGTGCCTCCAGACGGGGATGCGGCGCTGGCTCACTACCCCGGCCCCTCGCCAGCTGATGGCAGCCCGGTCACCGCCGCCGTGTGCACGCAGCAGGTGCGGGGGAAGGACGCGCAGGAGCTGCCGCACCGCAGGTTTTGCTGCTGCTCCTCCGGGTGACTTTGAGTTGACTTCAGGCGGCTGTCATGTGCGGCTGCTGGAAAACCGAGCAGGCTGTGCCTGGCTCCTGCAGGAGGTGCCAGACCTTACGCTACTACCCCTGCTAAAATGCTCATGCTCCTTCTTCTCCCTCCCCCTTAGTCCCAGGCTCTGTAAAAAAACCCGCCTTTTTAATCTAATCAGGAAGAGAATTTCATGTGCAAACAGGCATTACATGCCCTGCCTCATTTACATTTCTTTTCCCTTTCAGATTTTTTTCCACAGTCACCTTATTCTTTTGGTGCAAAAAACAAGCTGTTTCTGATCACCTTAGCAGATTCCCACCTGCCCCCCTCCTGCCTGTTCTTTCTAGCACAGGTTAACAAATAACAATTTAATGATACGGTTAATCATTTACAAAGCTCCTTGCTCTGGTACCAGGAGTCCTCTCTCCCACTGCCAGGCAAACTTCTAATATTAGTGGCTCACCAAGACACATCTGTTACATGTGTGCTCGCACACACACACGCAGAGCTTGCTTACAATGCTTAAAAAACCCAGAAAATTCACGTTACTCAAAGTGGCACTTGTCTTGTGTGACACAGGACTATTGTGGTTTACCATCTAGTAGTGAAATTTAGGAAGCTGTTTTAAACTAGTGTTCTGATTAATTAGCTGTCTGAAATAATTTTGTCTCATAAATTTAATACTGGCTAGTCTCCATCAGGTGACTGCAATTTTTCTCTATCTTGTTTATAGTTATTGTAACATATAAAATCGTTTTTAACTTCAGCAGCTACAGCTCATAAAAGCAGGCTCTTAAGACAACTTAAGCCAGAAATGCCTGTCTTTAAAAGGGTCAGACAGTTGCAGCAGCTGTAGAAACATCCTTGTAGGAAAGGATAATAAAAATATAAGTGTGTCTCAACATTCATAATCACAGAACCGTTAACAGGGCTTGTTTACAATTCTGAAGATAGCTCAGACTAACAATTTAAGTAGTTAATAAAATTGGGGACATGCTAAAAACAGGGTTCTTATTGGTGACAAACCCCATGATACTGCTTTTGCCTTGTTATCACAGCCAAAGCTTCTCACGTTTTCCAGGGAATTTACTGTTTGCTTCCCATTACAAACAACCCAGAGTCAGGGTATTTGCACAAGAAATCCAATAGGATAAACAAGAAGAACATGCTTCGAAGTATTTTAACTACAAAGGAATTCAAACAGCGATGCAAGGATTGCTCCTACTTTGTTTTACACGAATCAGCATGCAAAGTACCTAGAGAGGTGCCTCTTTCAGCCACTGGCATTTAACTGTTCCTAGAACAATGACAATGTCCTGAGAATTTTCATAGCGGCTGAAAGGATTCCCAGCTGTAAATCCGAAATAGCTCTTGCCCTATAAAAGCAAATGAGGAGCTGGTGAAGAAAGTACAGGGTCAGGACTTGGGAGATTTGGTTTCTATTTGTAGCTCTGTGCGTGGATTTGGGCTAGAAATGGAGTTTCACCTAATCTCAGCTCCCTGCCTGGAACACGTAGAGACTTCACCACTTGCAGAACAGCAAGGCTGCCTTTCCTTATTATCTGCCACAGAAAGATACTGTGGTGTTGGAAGCCAAGTTCAAAAAACCATGAAGGCACTCTCTGAAAAATCCATTTCTCCAAAGTCCCCAAATGTATCGTTGCCACAGCAGCTTATGCTGCTACTGCAATGGAACGGGAGAATATTGAGGAGCTCAACAAGAGGCCAGCTTTGCAAAGAGAAAGCTGGATATGGGTAACCTTTGTGCTAATTAAAAAAGCAAATTTCTTACCTAGCCTAATTACAGAAGATTGTGGTCCTCTCACCTTCCCTCTCCCAAACCAACTCAACTGTCCTGTAGCAGATCACGCCTTTTAAGACAAACCTTTCACTTTGTCGGTTTTGGGGTTTGTTTGGTTTGGCTGGATATTTTTTTAAGCATCCTATTATAAGACCTACATGCCCAGACTCAGGACTGTGCCAGCCTATTTATCACACAGAGACAGATCCCAGTGAGATGACTTCACACCACCTCTCCAGGGCACATTTTCCCAGGAGGAGACAAAGAAAAGGCAGTCATGTTTCAGAGATGCCAGGCAGGCCCTACCTGAGCAAGTCCCTCAGCACAGCCCACCAGCTAGGCTGAAATCCTCTCCTAAAAACTGTAACTCAAATAAAGAGCAAAGAAGGTGGGCAGCTTATAAGAAAAGTTTTCTTTCCTTCAGTCTCCCCCTCCTCCCTCCTGTGGTCTACCTGGCAGTTGAGAAAAAGGCATTTGCAGTCAGCAATCAGTTTTCAGCGCTAACTGCACTTCTCAGTTATGAAACAGCACAGACAATCCTGCCTTCCTGATTTCTCTAGCAACCTGCAAACAAGACCAACTGTTTGATGCAATCCTGGGTGCTCTTTCACAGTAGGAAAATATTTCTGTCTCTAGACTTAAAAGATTTGAGAGCTCCAAGAACAGACTGATTAACGTACATTTTGTGCAAGTGTACCAATGACATCTATATCATAGTAACAGAGACACACTATCACCAAAATAATAATGAGAGAAATTATTATAATAATTTGCAGCCCATTCAACATAAGAGAGCTTTCTAAAAAGACAACTAGACTTCTGACAATAAATTTTCATCCAGTACTATTAAAATTATTGGACATGCCAGTCAAAATCCTATACTGCTAGTGCTAATATTCTGAGGCATAGCTTTATATAATACTATTACTGGTCTTAGCTGTCACTGGCAGGAGAATCGCTGACAAATTCTCATAACAGGCATTCTATGAAACACATGGATGGTCTTTCAGCTGGTGACCAAAGGAATTACTCTGCCTATCCCTGTAGAAAAGCCAATTTCACAGAAGACCACAGAAGTTTTCTGTGAAAACTTCTCCTCACACTATCATGTGCTATCCTCATCAAGGGAAGTGCTTCCAGACAGTTTAAAGCCTTTTAATTGAGTCCTCTGCATGGAAACATGCCCAACGTACCTGCTTTGCAAATGAAAACAAAAGGGTTTATTTAGTCCACTTTTTCTGGAAAAATCTAGACCATTCTCCTCCTCACTTCAAAACTGTCTCTGTGACTGAGAGACAACAGAAGAACCCTTATATGTCCTTGTGCATCCAGGAGCCCTGCATGTTCCCTCACTGACTCACCTCCTCCAAATGGTGCCCATATAACCCTGCGGATGGATTTCACCCAATCCTCCATGTCATTCTGCGTGCTTGCCATAAGGAGATACGTCTCATGATTAGCTGTCATCCGCTCTCGGTCTCCTCCTGCAAGAGAAGATAAATGCACTTAGAAATCCTTTTGTTTTCCTGCCCAGCCAAGCTCCTGCCAGTCTGGCTGCTGGAAGAACTGACACTAGCTCCACAGCAAACAGACATGGATACTCTGCAGTGGAGTGTATATCGTCAGACGTGGCATGAAAAGAAGGTCCTGTAAGTACATTCCCCATCAGAAAGTGAGAAGCTGTCATGCTTCCAAAAGGAAATGAGAGGATAAATGTCATCAGTAAACAAAAACAGCCCCATGCTGTTCCAAGAACCACAGGGGCCCACACTAATCTGTAACTTGATACATGCACTGGAAATTTTGCAGCAGTTACTGTACCACGGTGGAGAGAATAAATGCAGAGACAGATAAGGGTGCTTTGAACAAGTGGGGATGACTCCACTCTTATTTTCAGGAACACAATGTGTCACATTCATAGCAATAACATTTGATACACCCAAGTGCTGCTGTGACTCTCTAAGGAGAAGGCAGCCGACACTTGCAGCTGACATGGTACAATCCGCTGCCTTGGACAGGTCTGAGGATTAGATTAAAAGGGAACACACAGCCTTATAATCCTTTATTTAAAAGATGGGCCCACATAAGAAGGTCAAAACCAGCACTTGGTTTGCCACAGCTCCAGGTTTTCAGACTTGTATCCTGCTTCACTTCCATTCTCGTGGGTACTGTATTGGTGCAAGAACACATGGAGATTCAAACCACCTTTCCAGGCAGAAGGGCAAACCCTTCCAGAAGAAGAGTGGCATTTTGAAGCCCTTTCACTGAGACAAGGGCAGGCACATGTACTTCACACACAAATGCAGTGCACCTAGAAATCCTGTGAGCCCTGTGTTCATCTCTTTCCAGCTTCTTTTATTTCCATTCTTTATCCTAGTCATATCTAAAGTAAACATCTCTGTTCACTACAGCAGGAATACTGCTCCTGCAAGGTCTTCTGAAGAGTGCTCTGCTTAGTTCTGGGCACAGAAAACAGCTAGGTTTCTAAAGAGAAATTTCTCAAGGGCTGGAAAATCCAATCATGACTTCCTGGCAAAACCGTTGGGAATGAACCTAGTCCTACAGTTCATGCTTTACAGAATTAGGGCACACAACTCTAAAAGGGATTTAACTGAAAAGTTAACCTTTAAACTTTTAAGTTTAAACCTAATAAATGCAAAAGCCAGATTTTCCTTGAGACAGGTAGATTGTACAGAAGAATTATTCTTAAGGTTTACATCATTATTCAAAACTTAAATTTGATCTTGGAGGTAAAGAGAGACTCTTTTTCCACAGTCAAAGTACAGCCATTCCATACAGTACATTCCCCAAAATTACATCCAAACAAGTAATGACCAATTAATTTTAGACTATACCACAATTTAAAAGTCTAAAGAACACTGTTTTT